TTCTTTCTAGCAGCATCTCTGGACACTAGAAATGCTACACCTCTGCTAACCTCCTTGAAAAAAGAGGTATTGTGTTGAGATTACAAACAAAACAGAGTAGACGACTCAGAATCAACTCACTTCTTTGGCATGTGAACAAAAAGTAAGTAACTCGCAGATAAGTACATTCTTTGGAACTGAGCCCCAAATGCTTTGTAGATTTCACGGTCAAGGGGAAATAATCAGTATTTTTGAGGAAAGAAGGTCCTATTTCTCTCTACGATGATGAAATGGTGGTATTTCCTGATTTATTATAGGATTCCACATTAAAAAATGAATGTGCATTTTGCTTGATTTGTCCTAGATGCTACTTAAATTTTTCTTCACTAATTCCTAATTAATGGAGGAAAGGGATTCTGACTCAAATAATTGCCATCTTTGGTTTCCCTGAAAGAAAAACAAAGCTAAAATTTGTCATCGTTTGTCTTGGGAATATCTTGTCAGCAGTTTATTAAGACACAAAACAACAATTCAGTACGTGGCAACTAGAAATGGGCCTGGAGAATCATTTAAAGCTTTTCTATGAGATAAATCTTTACTAATTTTTTTTTGTAGGAACTGATCACAGCACATGTTGACATTCTTCCTGCAATGTTTTTAATCGTCTACAACTGCCATGCAGTTCCTGAGCTTAACAGTAGATGGCTCCACGTGCCTTGTCTTTGAAAGGATTAGTGCTTCCTAGCAATAACAGTAGGCGCTGGTTTAGAAAATTCAAAGGATAATTAGAGTTCTGGGGGAAAAATTTGAGAAACTGGTGTTTGGGATCGTGGAATATTATTGAACTTTGGAAAGTGGCACTGCTCATGATATACAGTTGAAAACATATAAAGCCAGTCTTATTTCCTTATGTCTTGGGTGCCTGTCTATGATGAGAATTAATTGTCATTTTCCCAGAGGAATAAAAGTGATCTTCTGGAAAATCAGAATCATCGTTATCTAATTAAGTGCTGTAAAAAAAGAACTTTCTGGAATATTGGAAATGTTCCTCTTCTGTCCAATACAGTAGCCATTCACCACACGTAGCTATTATTGAACACTTAAATGGGGCTAGGGCAATTTCTGTTTGTTTAATTTAGTTAAACTAAAGTTCATATATCCCCATGTGGCTATTTACTGAACAGCACTGGCCATTACCTTGAACAGCACAGATATAAGTAGTTGAATCATTTATACATGATAGATCTCAAGCCAAATTATAGAATATCAAATGGGGAGCATCCTTTACTAAAAGGGTTTATGTTTCTAAACCCCGTTCACCTAAGCATACTTAGTGAGGACATTCAGTAAACAAGTAGAATATTCTATTTACAATTTATTGTGGAACATGGTTACCGGGATAATTTTATTTTTTTGGCTGCAAGTTCTTGAAAAATTACCCTTATCCCACACCCCCCTCCATTCTTCCCTTTTAGATAAATAGAAGGATACTAGCATTCTATAAAGTGCTTTCCTTTCTTACCAGACTAATTTGTACTTTCCCTGTGTTAAACTCATTTTCATACCAGGGCTTCCTAATAAAACTTGAATCAATTGAATGACTTCCGGATATAAATGTACCTTGAAATGAGATAGTAAACACACAAACCTAAGAAAAAACGATTGGTCAAAAGACTGGTTTTAAAATGACAAAATAGTAACACTGACTTAAAAAGTCCAAAAAATTTTCCTGACTCAACCTTCTTGAAAATAGCATTTTTAAATACACTTGTAGGAGAAAAACAAGAGCAAAAAACAGCTCAAGCAGATAATAAATCTCTACATAATCTTCACCAATAAGAAGAAATTTCACTCTCCTGTCTTCATTTCCACACACCAAGTAGCTGAACATCTAACTGCAGACCATTCTTCAGCCTTCATTGTTCCACAGCTAATAAAGGGTGCAAATGAACGAGGTGATAGTACAGCAAGATAAATCAGTTAACACAGAGCTAAAAGAGACTCATAAATCATCTAGTTCAACACCTTGTCAATTTCACAGATCCTGCAGATATAGGGAGAGAGTAAGTGACTTGTTAGGGCTCCAGATTGATTAGAACCCTAGGCTCTATTCCCAAGGCAGAAATCTGCCCACAGCGCTAGGCTACATCTGTCATCCTAGGATAATCAAGGGTTGCACAAATCTAATTTTTATAGACTTAACTGGAAAACCAAAAAGGACAACTAAAGGGGGGGTAATACCTGAATTCAACCACTAAAGACAAAAATCCCATCAATCTTAAGCAGTATTTTCAACAGTACAATTTGTCTCTTTAAGACCTTACAAAATGTTATAATGGTTTTTCCATTTATTATTTGTGGCAACAGAATCAAGATTCTAAGTCCCTGCTTCAGGGATTCCAGATTCTTCTCCCAAGTAAGGGAGGATACCCTAATTTTCTCATCTCCTGCCCAAGCAGGTACTCTCTTTGGGGTCATCCAAATACTCCTCCAAAGTCTAACTCTTCCAGGCCACCTCTATCAGGAGATTGATAAAGTTGATCCCACCGCTTCCGGTGCCATATTAGGTAACTTCCCAACATAAACAATCACCTAGTTTTGCCCCTTCAATTTTCTTACTTTTTCCTAGATAGGTGTTATTCAATTGATTTTTTTTTTTTTTTGGTCTATTGTAGTTTATTGGCCAGTAGTTAGACTGTAAGAATGTAACGTTAGTAATAATATAAGAAATGTGAATGACTATGATAAATAATAAAAATTTAAAATATTTAACAATATATGCCTAAGAATAAATTAAATTTAAAAAACAATAAATATAAATAGTTTATGGTGATTTTCTGTTCCAAAAGACAGAATGATCTCAGGAATCAGATTAAATGTCTAATGGAGCATATAAAATGGAGCAAGACTGAAAATGCACCAGGGGAGATATCAATTCGAAGAATTTAACACTCCATTAGACCACTGAAAAGTACTACACTTAGTAGCCAGAAATACTGCCACCTCTAGGAAGACAAAGGATTGACCCACATGTCGTGGAAGAATGCCGACAAGACACTTGCTAATCAGTAGCCAATCTTCTCCACTTTGCCAGGAAACCTGCTTGAAAGGCATAACAGAGCAGCGCTTGTGAACCCTGACTTCTGTCAAGTGCCCTAGGTCCTCCTTGGCCCAACAACTGCCCCCCCCCATAAACTAACTATTAATGATAGGACCTAACAAGCTGCCACACCTTTTAATCTGCTATGAAAATCTCGACAGCCAAGAATTTTTCTTCCCTTTTAGAAGTCAATTCTACATTTGCTCTAAACCTCACCTGACTAGTTGTTTTCCTTCCAAATCTCCAATCAGGCATATACTCTGGTTAACTGTAACCTCCTTGTTTCTTAGCACAGGCTTATCACCATGGTCCATGTTTTAAACTAAGACACAGCTATCACATGACAAGCTCTAGCTACTGTTTTCGGGAGGAAAGAAAAATTATTCACCCCATCTGAGTCTGACTGTACCAGACATTATTCAAGAGTGTAAAACCCTGATCCCTGATCACCAAAAATAAGCAGGACCCCCAACTGCCCACCCACACACACACACTCACGAAAACTACCCAAGAAGTAGAAGGAAACAACCTAGCTGTGCACAGGAAGGGAAGAAAGGTTGAAGAAAGGATGAAAGCGACTAGAAATCAGACAAATCCTCAAAAACTGTACCAAGATCTCGAGACAGAAGGCCTGGCTGCGGGATCGGGGCGAGAGAAGCAAAGCAAAACCCAACCCTTTATGCACTCAGTTCAGAGACCCTCCCTCGGCCATTAGAGATCATCCAGGGCTAAATACAGATCTACGCACACCAGCGGTCCCTGGCCATCGTCACATGGTGCTGCTGACGAAGAACTCCTTGGAGACGCCTTCTGCCCAAACATACATACACAAATTTCTGTGCATATTCATCCATACACACTATACCCACCGAATTCGTCGGCGAAGACGGACACATCTACATTCAGAAGAGAAAGTGGCTCCCTAGAGATCCCCTCCTGCGGTTTACTACACTTGTGCCGCCCTCCGCACTGTCAGAGGACCTCGCTACGCTGCTTTCGCCTGAGCTGCGCGGATCAGGTTGGGGTAAGGTGGGAATCAATACTCCAGTGGATCTCAGACAGACACACACACTTACACTCCAGCCCCCCTGTTCCGCCCTGTTCCGCTTGTACAGCACTGAAGTTGTTTCCACGGTTCCCTAACCCGGGAGGCTCCCAGGTACCCACAGTTCACGTTATTATCGCCCGGCCAGGTGACCCGAGACAACTCACCTGAGCTCAAGGCAAGAGCAAGGCGACACGTTGTGTCCCAGGTTACCAGCTGAACGGAGAAAGGAAAGAATATCACCTCGTCAGTGGCGAGCACGTGACCTCTGTTCCCTTGTCTCTTCCTGAGAGTCAGACCTTAGATTATAAGGCTCCGTCACCAAAAATAAGCAGGACCCCCAACTGCCCACCCCCACACACACACTCACGAAAACTACCCAAGAAGTAGAAGGAAACAACCTAGCTGTGCACAGGAAGGGAAGAAAGGTTGAAGAAAGGACGAAAGCGACTAGAAATCAGACAAATCCTCAAAAACTGTACCAAGATCTCGAGACAGAAGGCCTGGCTGCGGGATCGGGGCGAGAGAAGCAAAGCAAAACCCAAGCCTGTCCCCGCCCGGGCCCCAGTGGCTGGGGCCCGCACCTGCTGGCACCGTGTCCGCTCCCGGGGCGGCCCCAGACGCCCTCGGCGGCCAGGCAGGAGGACTCCCCACTTCCCCCGCTTTTGCGGGACGCTCTGTACCAGCTAGCGCTCGCTGGCCAGAATCTCCCGCCGCCTCCAGGTGAACTGGCAGCCGGGGCGCAGTCTGAGATCGGACTGCTCCGCGCGCAGCTCCCGGGCCGCCTGGGAGAGCGCAGCGCGCAGCAGGGTGGCGCGTTCCCGCTGCCGGGCTCCGGTTTCTCCCGTGAGAACTGCTGACCAGGGAACAACGCACCGGCAGATGGACCCGGGGTCCTCGGCTTCCCGGCTGTTTTCCGCTTGCCCACCAACGCAACCAAAGGAGAGGAAGCAAAAGAGCGCAAAAAATTCCGCCCAACCAGTCGGGTGCCTTGTTTATACTGAAACTACTGCCACCGCCGCCGCCGCCGCCGCCGCCGCCGCCAGGCCCCGCAGACCAATCACGGCGCAGCTCACCGCCCACTCCGCCACCGCCCCCGACGCCCGCGGCCAGCCCACGCGTCCCCGGGGGCCCGGGACTCCAGTGGCGCGGCTACCGGTTGTCCTCCCACGCTGCGGAGGCCGGCGGAGCCCGGCGCAGGCGTGTTTAACTACGCTGGTCCGGCTCGCTCGGACTGCGTGCGTTCCCTCCTGAGGGCACCTGCCGGGGGCTGTTTGTGCAGTCATGTGTATGCCTGTGTGTGTTCGTTTACCTGTGTGCTACCTGTAAATACCGGCCCGACCTGTTATACAGTATCTATTAACATAATTATGAGCTAGAGGTTACTGTCCCTCTAATTTTCAGAAGAGAGCTGAGAGAAACCACAAGAACATTCGCTCAGCAAATATTTACAGAAAGCCTGAGTGCTAAGCTTTGTGCCAAACGCTGGGGGCACACTCCAGGCTGGTCCCTGCCATTAGGAAGCCTACAGTTAAGTGGTGGACAAACGTTAAGCAAATGGTCACCCAAACAAAATGTAAAATTGTGGCTGTTACAAGTTCCACAAAGAAAGGAAAACTGCTGTGAAATATGTTTCTGGAGGCAAAGAGGGGAGGTCTGACCTCAGTAAAGGCTGTGCTGTCATTGTAACCGCATGCTCTATCATTGGCTACTTGATAACTATTTCAGGAAAAACGGTAAAACTTTTTTTCTAATAGAAATTTGTACGAATAAAAAGAGGCTGGGGGCTTCCCTGGTGGCGCAGTGGTTGAGAGTCCGCCTGCCGATGCAGGGGACGCGGGTTCGTGCTCCGGTCCGGGAAGATCCCACATGCCGCGGAGCGGCTGGGCCCGTGAGCCATGGCCGCTGAGCCTGCGCGTCCGGAGCCTGTGCTCCCGTAACAGGAGAGGCCACAGCAGTGAGAGGCCCGCGTACCGCAAAAAAAAAAAAAAAAAAAAAAGAGAGAGAGAGAGACTGGAGGGAAGAAACGATGAAAACAAATAAGGGAAGGAAGAGACGCAAGGAAAGAACAAAATCTTAAATCATCAGGAGCCTCTCTTGCCTGCCATGTGACCTTGAGTAAGTAAAGTAGCTTTTCTGAGCTTCAGTTTTCCCATGTGTAAAACAACACTCTTCGTACCTATCCTATAGGGCTATAATTAGGATTACTGAGATAGAGGAACTCCTTTTGTCCCTGCTCCATCTTCCCTCCCGCCTCCTCTTTGCTGGGTTGGAAACAGCAAGAAGTTCACCTTGCCTATTCTTAGCTGATTCCTCCCCTTATTTTCTTCATCTGTGCCTCCTCTCACTTCTCTTTGCCTAATTATACTCCCTCCTTCTCTTCTGTAAATGGGTCTCCTGTGACTCCGTTGTCTACTCTCACCTATCTGAGCTTCTCTGCAGTTTGAAGAAGGAGCCCTAAGACCAAGAAGGCTTGGCGGGTCCAGCTGTTCAGAGTAAAGCACCAAGGCTTGGGTGGCCCGGCCCAGCCCAGCTGTTGTGGTTGTGCTGGTTGGCTAGTCTTGCAAGCTCAGTTTTCCACCCTGGTTCTGCAACAAACAAGCCGTATGAGGTTGGGCAAGTCATTGACAATCTTGAGGTTCCTGGTCCTGTAGCAATAAATTAAGACTTGGACTAAATCATGATTTCTTAATGGAAATATTTGACATATCCTTTGTAACCTCCGGTTACACCCACCAGCCCAGAAGATTTTGCCCAGTTTTACATTCTGAAGTTTTTTTCCCCACCAAAACAAAAGATGTTTATTTTAATTTCTCAGAAATATAAAATGGATACCGTGAGACTGTTCATTCAATGCTTTACCAGAC